AATGCTCTTTGATTGTAGGTAAACTATAAATCCCAGCAACTACAACTCCCAAAGGTCAAGGTCTATTTTCCCCAGGCTCCACCAGTGTTCACATTTGCGCATATTGAGTATTTGTGCCAAGTTTGGTCCAGATCCACCATTGCGTGAGTCCACAGTGCTCTCTGGATATGTCAGAATTATTGAAGGTATGCATGTATGTTTTTTCAATGTGTTTCTATATGATTAAGAATGGTGTTAATATGTATTCAAGATGGATTCTGTTATGTTCAATTATGTGTTGGAATTATTATTGCAAGAGACAGAGAGGTACAGAGAGAAGAGACCTTGACAGAAGTTAGACAACAAGTTTCTCTGCTGGGAAGAAAAAGGGAGTTTCCAGCTTACAGCCAGAGAGCCTGATAAGCAGATGTTCTGAAACTGTACTGAAGCTGTGCTTTGTAGTTCCTGATTTTGCGCGCTTAGATGTCGACGTGTGTGAATGTACTGAGTAAACTTTATGTTATTTTAAAACTGGAAAACAGTAGAGTCCTGGAATTTTTGGAGTCTTGTGTCTGTTTGATCTAGCAACCTATTCCGCTGCGCATAGCACCCCGAATTTTCACTCTCTGGATATAGGTGAACTACAACTCCCAAACCCACCAAACCCTTCCTGTGTTTTCCGTTGGTCATGGGAGTTCTGTGTGGCAAATTAGGTTCAAATCCATCGCTGGTGGAGTTCAGAATGCTCTTTGATTATAGGTGAACTATAAATCCCAGCAACTACAACTCCCAAATTACAAAATCAATCCTCCCCCAACCCCACTAGCATTTACATGTGGGTGCATTGGGTATTTGTGCCCAGTTTGGTCCAGTGAATGAAAATACATCTTGCATATCTGATATTTACATTATCTATATATATAAAAAGAGAAAGGGCGTCCAACGGGACAGCAAAACTCAAAAACCCCCCAACGAAAACTTACCAAATTTACCATGCACATACCTCAACCCACAAGGTATGCACAAACCGATTCAAAATTCTAAACAACATTTCTACACACTCACAATAACAAAAACCAACTGAGCATGCGCAAAGCCGCCCCGCCGCAAGTCGCCCGGCGCATGCACATGGCCGGCCGGCCAATGCACCCTCCGCGCAAGCCACGCCCCCATCCTCCGTCGCCCCGCCCCTACCCTCCCATACGCCCTCTTTCCAACGCACCCTCTGTTCACGCCACGCCCTCCTCCCCCTCCTTCTTCTTCCCCCGCCCACCCCCCTCCAAAGAAGCCACGCCCTCTCCAAACCCTGCCACGCCCCTTCCCGCCCTGTCCAAATCCATCCCTCCTCGCCCTCCCCCGCTGCCGCTGGGAGGAAGGAAGGGAGGGAAGGTGTATGAAGGAAGGAAGGAGAAGTTGAGAAGGTATATGAAAGAAGAAAGGTAGGAAAGAAAGAATACAGAGAGAGAAGGAGGATGGGAAAGAAGGGAGAAAGGAAGGAAGGAGGAAAGGAAAGAAAGATAGAAAAAAAGAAGAAAGGGAAGGGGAAGGGAAGGTGTCAAAAGGAAGGAAGGAAGGAAGGAAGGAAGGAAGGAAGGAAGGAAGGAAGGGGAATTTGGGAAGGGGAAGAGAGGAAAAAAGCAAAGGAAGAAGAGAAAGGGAGGGAAGAAAAGAAAGAAAGAAAAGGAAGTCTGGAAGTCAAGAGCGAAGGAAGGAAGGAAAGAGATAGAGAGGGAAGAAAGGAGAGAAAGAGGAAGGAAAATAAAAAGGGAGGAGGAAGGAAAGAGGAAGAGAAGGAAGGAGGAGAGAAGGAAAGAAAAAAGGGAAGGGAGGAAAGACGGAGCAAAGGAAGAAGAGAAAGAAGGAGAGAAAGAGGGAGGGAAGGAAAGAAAGAGAAGGAAGGATGGGAGCAAAAAGCTAAGGAAGGAAGTAAACAGGTAGAGAAGGAAGAAAGGAAAGAAGAAAAGGAAATGAAGGAAGGAGTGAAAGAAGGAGAGAAAGAGGGAGAGAAGGTTGGCCACAGCAACGCGTGGCGGGTAAAGCTAATGATTTATAACAGTAGGAAAATGACTGTTATGAAGTCGCAACGAAAACAATGTGATGGTTGGGGGTCACCACAACATGGGGGACTGTATTCAGGGGTCACGGCATTAGGAAGGTTGAGAAACACTGTTCAACAGCATTAAGCCCCATTGGGAAGGAGCACCAACCAGCTCTCCACAATGGCTTGTACTTCTCTGACAAAAACCACTTAAAGATATCTACATGAATATTAAAACACATCTTTCCACAGCACATGGTTCATTACTGCATAATTATTAACTCTGGTGAGACAAAAATACCCTGTTCCTGCAACGGACAAGATCATTAAAGTATTTCAAAGCTCCGTCATTCAAGACAGAGGCAATTAATACGGCACTATCTTCCAAGGCAAACGTGCTCAGGGCTGGACATCGTATACGTAAAAATAACATCTGCTGACACACAATTTTCTCTTTTCCACGCTGCTGCGATGCAATGGCAGGCTTACGAAATATGCCACTTTGTCTCCATGGGAATGCAATACAATTTTTGACCCTGCATCAAAATCCAGCCAAATTATCTACTTACAAGCAAAGCAAGGCGCTGGCTGCTGGAGCTGATGAACAACTGCACTGCATCCTGTCAGATCCCCAAAATCTGGAGGAAAGCAAGAGTCATCGCCATCCTGAAGCCAGGCAAAGACCGTAATGACCCAAAAAGCTACAGACCAATCTCCCTGTTGTGCCACCTCTACAAAGTTCTGGAGAGACTTATTTTGCATAGAATTATGGAAAAAATAGACCCCTGTCTGATCCCACAGCAAGCTGGCTTCAGGAAAGGCAAAAGCTGCACATCGCAAGTGCTGAACCTGACTCAGCACATGGAAGATAGGCCGCAGATCACAGGAGCTGTCTGTAAGACTGTAGGTTTTATATAGCAATATTAAATGATCACTCACAAGCCGGTTTTGCTTGGAAATGAATATATTGCTTGTATCTCTGCAGCAAAGAAAGACACTACTGACTTTTTCCCACCACCACTTCCTTTTATACACCTTTCCTGCCCATCTCCCCCCTCTTCTCAGTTTCCTCATTAGAACTTGTTGCTTCACAAGTTCCAATACAAGGTTTCCAGCGCCCTCTGCTGGCTTCAAAATGTCACAGAGAGAAAACTGAGGCAGCCAGGATGATTCAGTCAGGATGTCACGGAGGGAATTTGTGATGTCTTCATACCGTCAGAAATTGATTCCTGACACTGTCATCATAGACCTGTCCGCAGTTTATGGTACTGTGAACCACCGCTGCCTCCTCCTGAGAAAAATGTATAATATCCCAAAGGACGACCACCTCACCCGCCTCATAGGAAACCTGCTACAAAACAGGAGCTTTTTTGTTGAGTTCCAGGGCCAGAGAAACAGATGGCGGAAACAGAAGAACGGCCTGCCTCAGGGGAGCGTGCTTGCTCCATCCATGTTCAACATCTACACAAATGACCAGCCACTGCCAGAAGGGACAGAGAGCTTCATCTATGCTGATGATCGTGCCATCACCGCTCAAGCAGGGAGCTTTGAGATGGTAGAACAGAAGCTCTCCAAAGCTCTAGGTCAGTGGTTTTCAACCTGGGGTCCCCTGATGTTTTTGGCCTAAAACTCCCAGAAATCCTAACAGCTGGTACACTAGCTGGGATTTCTGGGAGTTATAGGTCAAAAACATCTGGGGACCCCATTGAGAACCACTGCTCTAGGTGCTCTTACTGCCTATTACAGGGGAAACCAGCTGATCCCTAATCCATCTAAAACACAGACATGTGCCTTTCACCTTAAGAACAGACAAGCATCCCGAGCTCTGAGGATTACTACCTGGGAAGGAATCCCACTGGAGCATTGCAGCACACCCAAATACCTGGGAGTCACTCTGGACCGTGCTCTGACCTACAAGAAGCACTGCCTGAACATCAAGCAAAAAGTGGGCGCTAGAAACAATATCATACGAAAGCTGACTGGCACAACCTGGGGATCACAACCAGACACAGTGAAGACATCTGCCCTTGCGCTATTCTACTCTGCTGCTGAGTACGCATGCCCAGTGTGGAACACATCTCACCACACTAAAACAGTGGATGTGGCTCTTAATGAGACATGCCGCATTATCACGGGGTGTCTGCGCCCTACACCACTGGAGAAATTACACTGCTTAGCCGGTATTGCACCACCTGACCTCCGGGAAGTAGCAGCCAATAGTGAAAGGACCAAGGCAGAGACATCTCCAGCTCATCCCCTGTTTGGGTATCAGCCAGCACGTCAACAACTGAAATCTAGAAATAGTTTTCTAAGATCGACAGAGACACTCGCTGGAACACTGCTGTTAATTGTATATTTATGTTTTGATGTGGGCGCCATGGGGTGCCACTTTGTTAGCCGTGCATTCCTCTGCGGAGGTTGAAAAAGGACAGGATATAAGACTTAAATCTAGAAATAGTTTTCTAAGATCTACAGAGACACTCGCTGGAACACCTCAGCAAGCGAGAGTCCAAAAGTGGCAGGCTCAAACCCAGAACTGATACGAAATGAGAGACTCCCCCCTGGGCACACAGAAGACTGGGCGACTTGGAAGGCGCTGAACAGACTGCGCTCTGGCACCACGAGATGCAGAGCCAACCTCAAGAAATGGGGCCACAAAGTGGATCCACGACATGCGAGTGTGGAGAAGAGCAAACCACTGACCACCTGCTGCAATGCACCCTGAGCCCTGCCACATGATGCACAAGGGAGGACCTTCTTGCGGCAACACCAGCGGCACTCCAAGGGGACAGATACTGGTCAAAGGACATTTAATCAACTACCAAACTTGCAAAATTTGTGTTTTTTTGTCTGTTTGTCTTGATTGTTCTGTTAGAAATGTAATACAATGGTCTGGTTGCCCCTGAAACGATTTCCTTTGAATGCATTTTACATTCGAAACTGAACGCCAATGGAGAACCTGACCCACGGACAGTCCACTCACCTATCAGGCCGGAGTTCACAAACGGCGTCGGGGACAATCCGTCACTGGGCCCTAATCGACTGTCGCTCAAATGGTCGTTGTAATGACTGTCTGTGAAGCCCTACAAGAGAAGAGAAGAGCATTTAACCGATTAATGGGCAGCCCAACCAAGTCTCAGAGACAAGTTCCCAGTCGGAGGGAGAGGCACTATGGGTCACTCTGTGTCCATGGGTAGGGTATTCCACGCAAAAGGAAACGGTTAGGACAGCACCATTAGCAGCATGAATATCCAAAATTCCACCTGCCATGAAAGTAGGAAATACAGGCAATCCAGAAGTTATAAACATACAACTTCCAAGCAACTCCTAGTTAAGAACAATGGGTCTGAGACAGCAGGAAGTGAGAGAAATCTTCCCCTTGGAAGGAAGAGAAATCCACTCCTGGAAGAGTTGTCATTATTCCTGGGGAAAAGGCATCTCCACTGAAGTTTTCTCTCCAATCCTTCTTTCCACAACAAGCCACATTTCCCAAAATCCCATTCTCACGCAGACAGAAAGTGGGGGGAAATCTTTATGAATAGGGGCACAGGCAGCAAAGGAGAAGATAGATAGATAAATGCTCTGTGCGTTATGAGTACTTTAAAAACAAAAAAAACCTACGAGGCCAAACTACGGGGCTCAACAGAAGTTGAGGAAGCAAGAAGCCATTTTGTTCCTTTCTGCTTCAGGTAAGCCTCGTCTTAGAGGGCACTAGGAATCTGAGTGAGTGTTTAAAATTAGCTGCTTTGTTTGAGAGGCTCATTGTTCTCAGAGTGAGTCAGAGTGGGTTGTTGCTGCTGCCTGTTTACCCTATATAAGCCAGGGCCTGAACTAAAGTGGCAGTTGTGCTCCCACAGATGTTGAGGAACCAAGAAGCCATTTTGTTCCTTTCTACTTCAGGTAAGCCTTGTCTTAGAAGGCACTAGGAATCTGAGTGAGTGTTTAAAATTAGCTGCTGAGTGCTTTGTTTGGAAGGCGGGACGAGGCTCATTGTTCTCAGAGTGAGTCAGAGTGAGTTGTTGCTGCTGCCTGTTTACCCTATATAAGCCAGGGCCTGAACTCAAGTGGCAGTTGTACTCCCACAGATGTTGAGGAAGCAAGAAGCCATTTTGTTCCTTTCTGCTTCAGGTAAGCCTTGTCTTAGAGGGCACTAGGAATCTGAGTGAGTGTTTAAAATTAGCTGCTGAGTGTTTGCTTTGTTTGAGAGGCGGGGCAAGGCTCATTGTTCTCAGAGTGAATCAGAGTGAGTCGTTGCTGCTTCCTGTTTACCCTATATAAGCTAGGGCCTGAACTCAAGTGGCAGTTGCGCTCCCACAAAAGTTGAGGAAGCAAGAAGCCATTTTGTTCCTTTCTGCTTCAGGTAAGCCTTGTCTTAGAAGGCACTAGGAATCTGAGTGTTTAAAATTAGCTGCTGAGTGTTTGCTTTGTTTGAGAGGCAGGGAGAGGCTCATTGTTCTCCGAGTGAGTCAAAGTGAGTCGTTGCTGCTTCTTGTTTACCCTATATAAGCCAGGGCCTGAACTCAAGTGGCAGTTGTGCTCCCACAGACAAGGAACAATGGCTTCAAACTACAAGAAAGGAGATTCCATCTGAACATGAGGAAGAACTTCCTGACTGTGAGAGCTGTTCAGCAGTAGAACTCTGCCCCGGAGTGTGGCGGAGCCTCGTTCTTTGGAAGCTTTTAAACAGGGGCTGGATGGCCATCTGTCAGGGGTGATTTGAATGCAATATTCCTGCTTCTTAGCAGGGGGTTGGATTGGATGGCCCATGAGGTCTCTTCCAACTCTTTGATTCTATGATTCTTTAAAATACATTACAACTGTACTCTCAGTTTGTTCCTGATACAATGAATAAAAAACTATTATTGTTATCTCAGGTCACAACATATGGCAGCCGGAGTGGAATAGGAAGAATTACAACTATAGGTACTTTAGTTGACGATATAAATCCAACTTTAGATAAATATTCATAGAATCCTAGAGTTGGAAGAGACCTCCTGGGCTATCATCCAGTCCAACCCCATTCTGCCAAGAAGCAGGAATATTGCATTCAAGCACCCCTGACAGATGGCCATCCAGCCTCTGTTTAAAAGCTTCCAAAGAAGGAGCCTCCACCACACTCCGGGGCAGAGAGTTCCACTGCTGAACGGCTCTCACAGTCAGGAAGTTCTTCCTCATGTTCAGATGGAATCTCCTCTCTTGTAGTTTGAAGCCATTGTTCCATTGCGTCCTAGTCTCCATGGAAGCAGAAAGGAAGCTTGCTCCCTCCTCCTCCCTGTGGCTTCCTCTCACATATTTATACATGGCTATCGTATCTCCTCTCAGCCTTCTCTTCTTCAGGCTAAACATGCCCAGCTCCTTAAGCCGCTCCTCATAGGGCTTGTTCTCCAGACCCTTATTGCTCCCTCCTCCCTGTGGCTTCCTCTCACATATTTATACATGGCTATCATATCTCCTCTCAGCCTTCTCTTCTTCAGGCTAAACATGCCCAGCTCCTTAAGCCGCTCCTCATAGGGCTTGTTCTCCAGACCCTTGATCATTTGAGTCGCCCTCCTCTGGACACATTCCAGCTTGTCAATATCTCTCTTCAATTGTGGTGCCCAGAATTGGACACAATATTCCAGGTAAAGTGGTCTAACCAAAGCGGAATAGAGCATGGGGAGCATGACTTCCCTAGATCTAGACACTATGCTCCTATTGATGCAGGCCAAAATCCCATTGGCTTTTTTTGCCGCCACATCACATTGTTGGCTCATGTTTAACTTGTTGTCCACGAGGACTCCAAGATCTTTTCCACACATACTGCTCTCGAGCCAGGCCTCGTCGTCCCCCATTCTGTCTCTTTGCGTTTCGTTTTTTTCTGCCTAAGTGGAGTCTCTTGCATTTGTCCCCGTTGAACTTCGTTTTGTTAGTTTGGGACATTTGGGAGACATGCCTGAAAAGTCCCACCCGCTGCTCCTTGCACACTCTTTCTACCCTGACCCTAAAGAAGTTCCAAGAGAAGCTCATGCAGGAGCTCATTCTGGTCTGCAGCAGCAATAAGGAACCGTGCAAGACCTTTGGGGACTCAAAAGACCCATCAATCGCTGGGCATTTACTATTTCCCAGGGACTGATAAGGCTGGAGCCGGCCTCCCCTTCTCTACCACCCGTTCAGCCAAAGGGCTCCTGGGCATGCGTGTGCCACCGCTTGCTCGCTTCCTTCCTTCCTCGCTTCTCCTCTGGGCAGCCCAGGATATGAGGCTCGTTGCCTCCTTCGGGTTCATCTTGTGATGGACACTTGGGGAAAGTCTCCGTGACATCCACCACTTGCTTGTGGCCATAGGGCCCCGTCTGTCAGGCGGAGCAGCAGCTGCCCAGGAAACGGGAGGCTCCCGGCCAAGGTCACGGTTGCTGCCCACCCACCCGCCTTCCTTCCTTCCTTCCTTCCTTCCTTCCTTCTGCTCAGAAAAGGCCGTCTGGACTGACCGCCCTGCGCAGGAGGGACCTGGGAAGGAAGAAGGTGGTGGTCAGGCTCTGTCAAACTGCAGAGCACCTCTGACCTCAGACATCACACCAACTTGGCACAATCAGCAAGCAGTCTATTGAGGATTATATGGAAGCCAAGTCGGAAAAATAGCAAAACCAGTAAACATCTATCTATTAGGCTTGGTTGATCAAGAAAAAATTTGGTTCTAAACTCGTTTCGTTTCTAGGGTGCGCTAGCGTTTCGAAATTCTGAGGACTTCCGAAATTTAAGATTTCAAAATTTCGAAATTTCTGAAATTTCGTAAATTACGAATCGATTCGTTAATGGCGGACGCGATTGCACAATATGCTAAAAAAAACCTCCAAATGGGACGGGGGGAACTTCTGAAGCTTCCCTCTCCCTCTGTTGTTGACTGTTGGTGTGATAAAACAAAAAAACAACTATAAAACTTATTATATTATATTATATTATATTATATTATATTGTTGTATATTAAATTATAATATTATTATATTATATTATTGTATATTATATTATATTATATTATATATTATATTATTATTATTATATTATATTATATATTATTATAATAATATAATATATATAATATAATATAATAATTTATTATATTATATTATATTATTATAATATTATTATATTATATTAGTATAATATTATTATATTATATATTATAATAATAATATAATATATATAATATAATATAATAATTTATTATATTATATTATATATATTATATTATTATTATATATTATAATATATTATATTATAATATACAATATAATATAATAATAATATAGTAATATAATATATAATATAGTAATATAATATAATATAATATAATATACAATAAACTTGCACCAGACATACGAAAATAATTACGAAATAATTACGAAATAATTACGAAAATTGGAAAAAATTGTTTCGATTCTTAATTACTCCTCACACTATTCCTGCATGGCTCGATATTGGATCGTAAGCTAATTTAAATACGAATCAATAACGAATAACGAAATTAACGAACTGGATCGCCCAAGCCTACTATCTATATAAAAATGCTCTGTGCGTCACGAGTCCCTTAAAAACAAAAGAAGCAATGAACGAAATCACACCAAATTTGGCAACAAAACGTCTCACTACACAAGGAGTGACCATCTCTCACAAAATTATGATTTTGTCATTTGGGAGTTGTAGTTGCTGGGAAAAGCCCTAAATAAATAATCTATATATGTGTATATATATATAAATGCATAATGAGTTCCTTAAAAACAAAAGAACCAATGAACGAAATCACACCAAATTTGGCAACAAAACATCTCACAACACAAGGAGTGACCATCACTCAAAAATTATGATTTTGTCATTTTGGAGTTGTAGTTGCTGGGATTTATAGTTCACCTACAATCAAAGAGCATTCTGAACTCCACCAACGATGGAATTGAACCAAACTTGGCACACAGAACTCCCATGACCAACAGGAAATACTGGAAGGGTTTGGTGGGCATTGACCTTGAGTTTTGGAGTTGTAGTTCACCTACATCCAGAGAGCACTGTGGACTCAAACAATGAAGGATCTAGACCAAACTTACAAATCCTCAATATGCCCAAATGTGAACACTGGTGGAGTTGGGGAAAATAGACCTTGACATTTGGGAGTTGTAGTTGCTGGGATTTATAGTTCACCTACAATCAAAGAGCATTCTGAACTCCACCAGTGATGGAATTGAACCAAACTTGGCACACAGAACTCCCATGACCAACAGAAAATACTGGAAGGGTTTGGTGGGCATTGACCTTGAGTTTGGGAGTTATAGTTCACCTATATCCAGAGGAGTGCTATGGATTCATGCAATGATGGATCTGGACCAAACTTGGCACCAATACTCGATATGCCCAAATGTGAACACTGGTGGAGTCTGGGGAAAATAGAACTTGACATTTGGGAGTTGTAGTTGCTGGGATTTATAGTTCACCTACAATCAAAGAGCACTCTGAACCCCACCAACGATGGAATTGAACCAAACTTGGCACACAGAACTCCCATGACCAACAGAAAACACTGGAAGGGTTTGGTGGGCATTGACCTTGAGTTTGGGAGTTATAGTTCACCTATATCCAGAGGAGTGCTGTGGATTCATGCAATGATGGATCTGGACCAAACTTGGCACAAATACTCAATATGCCCAAATGTGAACACTGGTGGAGTCTGGGGAAAATAGAACTTGACATTTGGGAGTTGTAGTTGCTGGGATTTATAGTTCACCTACAATCAAAGAGCATTCTGAACCCATCAATGATGGAGTTGAACCAAACTTGGCACACAGAACTCCCATGACACAACAGAAAATACTGGAAGGGTTTGGTGGGCACTGACCTTGAGTTTTGGAGTCGTAGTTCACCTACATCCAGAGAGCACTGTGGACTCAAGCAATGATGGATCTGGACCAAACTTGGCACAACTCAATATGCCCAAATGTGAACACAGGTGGAGTTTGGGGAAAATAGACCTTGACATTTGGGAGCTGTAGTTGCTGGGATTTATAGTTCACCTACAATCAAAGAGCATTCTGAACTCCACAAACGATGGAATTGAACCAAACTTCCCACACAGAATTCCCATGACCAACAGAAAATACTTAAGGCCATCCATTCCAACTCTTCACCAGGGCAAGAAAATATAATAAAGCCCTCCTGACAAAGAGCCATCCAGCCATAGATATAGATAGATAGATAGATAGATAGATAGATAGATAGATAGATAGATAGATAGATAGTTGTAGTTGCTGGGATTTATAGTTCACCTACAATCAAATAGCATGATAGAATTGAACCAACTGGGGCATACAGGACTCCCATGACCAACAGAAAACACTAGAAGGGTTTGGTGAGCATTGACCTTGAGTTTGGGAGTTGTAGTTCACCTACATCCAGAGACTACCATGGGCTCAAACAATGATGGATCTGGACCAAACTTGGCACGAATATTCCATATGCTCAAATATGAACACTGGTGGAGTTTGGGGAAAATAGACCTTGACATTTGGGAGTTGTAGTTGCTGGGATTTATAGTTCACCTACAATCAAAGAGCATTCTGAACCCCACCAACGATAGAATTGGGCCAAACTTCCCACACAGAACCCCCATGACCAACAGAAAATACTGTGTTTTCTGGTGGTCTTTGGTGACCCTTCTGACACCCCCATGGTGACCCCCCCCCCCCGCCCATGCTGCCTTAAGGCAATCCAGTCCAACTCCCTTCACCAGGGCAAGAAAACATAATCAAAGCCCTCCTGACAAAGGGCCATCCAGCCATTCACACACACACACATATATGTATATGACAGATGCAGTATCAAAGATTTGAAAGGGACCCCTAAAGAAGGACAATGATATGTTGCATGTTCCAGAGGAGGCAAACCAGACACTCTCCACATCAACACTGACAAAGAAACAGCAAGAAATACTGTTTACCCACAAGCATAAAGAAATTACATATATTACAAACCCACACTTTCTCATTACTTTATTTTTCAGATCACCAAACTGGGCCATAGCAACACCTGGCAGGGGACCGCTAGTATATATATATAAATGTAAATGTCCGTTTGTGAGTGACCTCAAATCTTCCAAAATACTTCACCGATAGCTTCGAAATTTGATCACAACGTAGCATTTGAACAGGTGAGTGTTTTTATGTATTCGCATACCTACTATTTTATAGATGTCACAACTGTGACAGGTAAAAACATGCTTGGCATCAAAAACAGCACCATCTGCTGGACGACCAAGCAACATATCATGAAACAACCCGGTCAGGGCCGGAGCCACCATTAAGGATCTGTGGCCTGGTCATCCCCCACCGAACCTCCCTCCAGAGCAGAACCAGGACAAGAAGAGCGGGAAAAGGCGGCAGGGCAGGGAGGGAAATCCAGGCCAGGGAGATGTTGGCCTCAGGCATCAAGAGGAGCCTAGTGTCTAGATTGAGGGAAGTCCTGCTCCCCAGGCCCTATTCCGCTTTGGTTAGACCACACCTGGAATCACATTGTGTCCAATTCTGGGCACCACAATTCAAGAGAGATATTGACAAGCTGGAATGTGTCCAGGAGGGCGACTCAAATGATCAAGGGTCTGGAGAACAAGCCCTATGAGGAGCGGCTTAAGGAGCTGGGCATGTTTAGCCTGAAGAAGAGAAGGCTGAGAGGAGATATGATGATAGCCATGTATAAATATGTGAGAGGAAGCCACAGGGAGGAGGGAGCAGATCAAAGGTCTGGAGAACAAGCCCTATGAGGAGCGGCTTGAGGAGCTGGGCATGTTTAGCCTGAAGAAGAGAAGGCTGAGAGGAGATATGATGAGAGCCATGTGTAAATATGTGAGAGGAAGCCACAGGGAGGAGGGAGCAGATCAAAGGTCTGGAGAACAAGCCCTATGAGGAGCGGCTTAAGGAGCTGGGCATGTTTAGCCTGAAGAAGAGAAGGCTGAGAGGAGATATGATAGCCATGTATAAATATGTGAGAGGAAGCCACAGGGAGGAGGGAGCAGATCAAGGGTCTGGAGAACAAGCCCTATGAGGAGCGGCTTGAGGAGCTGGGCATGTTTAGCCTGAAAAAGAGAAGGCTGAGAGGAGATATGATGAGAGCCATGTATAAATATGTGAGAGGAAGCCACAGGGAGGAGGGAGCAAGCTTGTTTTCTGCTTCCCTGGAGACTAGGACGCAATGGAACAATGGCTTCAAACTACAAGAGAGGAGATTCCATCTGAACATGAGGAAGAACTTCCTGACTGTGAGAGCCGTTCAGCTGTGGAACTCTCTGCCCCGAAGTGTGGTGGAGGCTCCTTCTTTGGAAGCTTTTAAACAGAGGCTGGATGGCCATCTGTCAGGGGTGATTTGAATGCAATTTCCTGCTTCTTGGCAGAATGGGGTTGGACTGGATGGCCCATGAGGTCTCTTCCAAAGATTCCATCTGAACATGAGGTAGAACTTCCTGACTGTGAGAGCTGTTCAGCAGTGGAACTCTCTGCCCCGGAGTGTGGTGGAGGCTCCTTCTTTGGAAGCTTTTAAACAGAGGCTGGATGGCCATCTGTCAGGGGTGCTTTGAATGCAATATTCCTGCTTCTTGGCAGAATGGGGTTGGACTGGATGATGGCCCAGGAGGTCTCTTCCAACTCTTGGATTCTAGGATTCTATGATTCTATAACTTCCTGACTGTGAGAGCTGTTCAGCAGTGGAACTCTCTGCCCGAGTGTGGTGGAGGCTCCTTCTTTGGAGGCTGGATGGCCATCTGTCAGGGGTGCTTTGAATGCAATATTCCTGCTTCTTGGCAGAATGGGGTTGGACTGGAGGATGGCCCAGGAGGTCTCTTATTATTATTTAGACCAGTATCATTGTTATTATTATCATTATTACATACTCCTGTATTATTATATAGATCATATAAGACAGTATTATTATTTATACCGTTATTGTTGTTGTTGTTGTTTTTGTTGTTATTCTTTCAACGACAATGGAACGACAAAAATATCATATACCCACAAGCATTATGACATCACATATTAGAAACCAGCTCTTTCTCTTTCTCTTTCATTCCGGAGCAATGCGTGGCTGGGAATAGTTAAGGTGCATGTGTGTGTATACAATACACATATACACACACATAAATACATCCTAGCTGTTCCTCTTGGGAAAGAAAAGCTGCCTCATATTTCAGATCAATATGCACAATACGCCACCACGTCTCACCTCCTCGTGTTTCAACTTTCCAAGCGCTGTCGAGAGATCGGAGCTTTTCCCAAGGAGGCTGCCGTTCTCCTGCCAACGAGGAAACATTTGGAAAGGTTAGAAATAATTAAAATGTTTGATGCTCAAAGACCCATGACATACGCTACTCTTTACTGCACCATCGAATCTAATGCACAACTCTGTTTTCAAAACTCTGAAACCAAAAAAAAACCATATTTGCTGCTGACTGTCATGCGCAGCGGAAAAAGGTGCGTTCTTGGAAATCTGGCCACTCCAGTTGCTGCCTCCTTAGGATTATGCTGCAGAATAATTCCACTTTAATTGCCTTGGTTATTGTGTGTGTGTGTCAGGAGGGACTTGAGAAACTGCAAGTCTCTTCTGGTGTGAGAGAATTGGCCGTCTGCAAGGACATTGCCCAGGGGACACTGGGATATTTTTGATGTTTTACCATCCTGTGGGAGGCTTCTCTCATGTCCCCGCATGGGAAGCGGGAGCTGACATAGGGAGCTCATTCGCACTCTCCCCGGTTACTAACCTGCGACCTGTCGGTCTTCAGTCCTTGTGTCAGCAGGACTGCTGACCAAAACGTCAGTGGTCTGAATCCAGGGAGAGCAGGGTGAGCTCCCGTCTGTCAGCTCCAGCTCCCCATGAGGGGACATGAGATGGTAAAACATCAATCCTAGAATCCAAGAGTTGGAAGAGACCTGGTGGGCCATCCAGTCCAACCCCATTCTGCCAAAAAGCAGGAATATTGCATTCAGATCACCCCTGACAGATGGCCACCCAGCCTATGCTTAATAATAATAATAATAATAATAATAATAATAATAGAATCAAAGTGTTGGAAGAGACCTCCTGGGCCATCATCCAGTCCAACCCCATTCTGCCAAGAAGCAGGAATATTGCATTCAGATCACCCCTGACAGATGGCCATCCAGCCTCTGTTTCAAAGCTTCCAAAGAAGGAGCCTCCACCACACTCCGGGGCAGAGAGTTCCACTGCTGAACGGCTCTCACAGTCAGGAATCATAGAATCATAGAATCAAAGAGTTGGAAGAGACCTCATGAAGATTTAAAAAAACAAGGTTTATTTTAGTTTCTTCATGAAGAAGACGGACAGCCTGGCAGCATACACAGATGCTACCCTTCAAGTGACTGCCGCGCCCCTCCTCTTTTTCTGCTGACTTTTATACTCAAGTAATAGGTCATGGAAAGTACTCTCTTTCCAGCCCCTCTCCCTTGACCTTTTGATGGAAAGTACCTTCTTGTACCTGCAGACTCTGCGCTTAACCACAACCTTTGAACTTAACCACAACACAACTTCCGACCTCTACATGTCACATCTTGTTTCTTAAAAACATTTTCTTCCCTGTTGCTCCTTTTCTACAGAGAAAGGGTATGTTTCTCTTTTGCTGTTAATTTCATTCAAAGCCCCTTGCTTAGCATTTGCAAATTTCACTCAAAGACCCTTTCAAGGCCACTTCAGGTTTGGAACATCAAAACAGAATATTTATTTCTCAAAGTCCTTGCAGACTTGGCACAGCTTGTCAAAGTTACAAACAAAACAGTCAATTGGTGAAACCATAGAGATGATCTTTCTTTCTTTTTCCTTCAGTTACTGAGGTAACTCTTCCCCAAATGGTAGAAAATATCCTGAGATCCTTTCACCCTAACCCTGAGCTGCTATGGTTAGAAAAAAAGCAGGTTTTTTTCCCTATCTATAGCTCAAGGTTAGCTTTGGAGATGAAGTAATGCTCAATAATAATAGTAATAATAATAATAATAACCCTTTATTTATACCCCGCTACTATCTCCCGAAGGACTCGGTGTGGCTTACAAGAGGCCGAGCCCAAATACATCAGTAAAAACAACAACAATACAGACAATAAATAAAATCATAAACAAAGCAGTAAACATTAACAATAACACCATGACGCATTAAAAACCCGTGGCAGGGCTAAATGTAGTAGTTAAAAATGCTGGGCATGACAAGGTGACATATAACTAGGATAGGTATTTGGAGAGGGATGGAGTGAGCAGACAATCCTAGATCACTAGTAAAGTGCATTTCTGCCTTCTGCTAGGAGTTTCCTTATTCTGGGAAGGCACACTGGAACAACCATGTTTTCAGGCTCCTCCTAAAGACTGCCAGAGTTGGGGCATGCCTAATGTCCTTGGGGAGTGAGTTCCAGAGTCGAGGGGCCACCACCGAGAACGCCCTGTCCCTCGTCCCCGCCAATCACGCTTGCGATGGAGTCCCTTGGGGAAATGGTACAAATAAAGTGTTGTTGTTGTTGTTGTTATTATTATTATTATTATTGGCCTCACGTAAGCCGCACGGAGTCCCTTGGGGAGATGGTACTGTGTTGTTATTGCTTATATTGTTGTGTTTGGGCTCGGCCTCATGTAAGCCGCACCGAGTCCCTTGGGGAGATGGTAGCGGGGTACAAATAAGGTGTTGTTGTTGTTGTTGTTGTTGTTGTTGTTATTATTATTATTATTATTATTATTATTATTATTATTATTATTATTATTATTATTATGGCCTCTCCCAAACTCCATGGAGAGATGGTAGCGGGGTACAAATAAATGTATTATTATTATTATTATTATTATTATTATTATTATTATTGGCCTCATGTAAGCCGCACCGAGTCCCTTGGGGAGATGGTAGCGGGGTACAAATAAAGTTATTATTATTATTATTATTATTATTATTATTATTATTATTATTGGCCTCATGTAAGCCACACCGAGTCCCTTGGGGAGATGGTAGCGGGGTACAAATAAAGTGTTGTTGTTGTTATTATTATTATTATTATTATTATTGGCCTCATGTAAGCCGCACCGAGTCCCTTGGGGAGATGGTAGCGGGGTACAAATAAAGTTTCATTATTTATTATTACTTCATCTCCAAAGCTAACCTTGTGCTTAGATAGGGGAAGACCTGTTCTTTCTAACCATAGCAGCTCAGGGTTAGGGTGAAAGATCCCAGGATTTTTTCTACCTTTTGGAGAAAAGTTACCTCAGTAATTGTATTGTTGTATTATGGGCTCGGCCTCATGTAAGCCGCACCGAGTCCCTTGGGGAGATGGGAGCGGGGTACAAATAAAGTTATTATTAATAATATTATTATCATCATCATCATCATCGGGATGTTATGTAGTTTCTGGCCAGTATAGCCAATGTATTCTAGCCTTTTCTTCTGACATTTCACCTGCATTTCATAGAATCATAGTTAGGGTGAAAGATCCCAGGATTTTTTCTACCTTTTGGAGAAAAGTTACCTCAGTAATTGAAGGAAAAGGGAATGGGCTCGGCTTCATGTAAGCTGCACCGAATCCCTTGGGGAGATGGTAGCGGGGTACAATTAAAGTTTAATAATAATAATAATAATAATAACAATAATAATAATAATAACATCAGTTTTCGCACAGCTTGTTTAACCACCCCCTTTACCACTTGGCCAATCCCCCTCTAGCTTCCTTGACTTCCTTCCTGACTAGTCCTGACTTACCCTTGTGGCTTCGTAGGAAGGACTGGGCGGTCCGCTTGCTCCCCAAGAGACAGTGCCGCCTCGCTCCTCCATGCCTGGCAACAGAAACAAGAAAGGCAATGCCTTCAGAACAAAATTCAAGGATTGGGGGAAAGGGCAAAGGATAGCATCACGGCGGAGAAGGCAGGGGATCGCCATTCTCTCTCCAAGGAATCCCGAGTCTCTCTCCAGATCCTTCAGGAGCAACGTCTACAAGAGAAAGCATCCCTACCTAGCCAGAAAGTGTGAACGCCAGCCCACATCCATATCGCCTTAGAGAATGGGATCCTCTTCTCTAATGTCAATCACATTCCCTTGGGATTTAGCAAGACATTGCACCAAAGCTGATGCTCCTGGAAGTATGGTCGAAGGTTTGCATGACTGGAATCACTGAGCTGCTGGACCAAGGCAGAGACATCTCCAGTTCATCCTCTGTTTGGGTATCAGCCAGCACATCAACAACTTAAATCACGAAATAGTTTTCTAAGATCGACAGAGACACTCGCTGGAACACCTCAGCAAGCAAGAGTCCGACATCCGCCGGGAAGGAGCAGCCAATAGTGAAAGGACCAAGGCAGAGACATCTCCAGCTCATCCCCTGTTTGGGTATCAGCCAGCACGTCAACGACTTAAATCAAGAAATAGTTTTCTAAGACCTACAGAGACATTCGCTGGAACACCTCAGCAAGCGAGAGTCCAAAAGTGGCAGGCTCAAACTCAGAACCTCAACCAATGGCTGATACCAAATGAGAGACTTCTCCCTGGGCACACAGAAGCATCCCGAGCTCTGAGGATCACCTGGGAAGGAATCCCACTGGAGCATTGCAGCGCACCCACATACCTGGAAGGAGTCACTCTGGACCGTGCTCTGACCTACAAGAAGCACTGCCTGAACATCAAGCAAAAAGTGGGCGCTAGAAACAACATCATATGAAAGCTGACTGGCACAACCTGGGGATCACAACCAGACACAGTGAAGACATCTGCCCTTGCGCTATGCTTCTCTGCTGCTGAGTACGCATGCCCAGTGTGGAGCACATCTCACCACGCTAAAACAGTGGATGTGGCTCTTAATGAGACATGCCGCATTATCACGGGGTGTCTGCGCCCTACACCACTGGAGAAATTACACTGCTTAGCCGGTATTGCACCACCTGACATCCGCCGGGAAGTAGCAGCCAATAGTGAAAGGACCAAGGCAGAGACATCTCCAGCTCATCCCCTGTTTGGGTATCAGCCAGCACGTCAACGACTTAAATCTAGAAATAGTTTTCTAAGATCGACAGAGACACTCGCTGGAACACCTCAGCAAGCGAGAGTCCAAAAGTGGCAGGCTCAAACCCAGAATTGATACCAGATGAGAGACTCCCCCGGGCACACAGAAGACTGAGCGACTTGGAAGGCGCTGAACAGACTGCGCTCTGGCACCACGAGATGCAGAGCCAACTTCAAGAAATGGGGCCACAAAGTGGAGTCCATAACGTGTGAGTGCGGAGAAGAGCAAACCACTGACCACCTGAGTCTCTCATCTGGTATCACCCACAGATTGAGGTTCTGAGTTTGAGCCTGCCACTTTTGGACTCTCGCTTGCTGAGGTGTTTCAGCGAGTGTCTCTGTAGATCTTGAGAACTTTCACTACACAATGGCTCTAACCCAGTGTTTCTCAATCTTCTTAATGACGTGACCCCTTAATACAATTCATCAAGTTGTGGTGACCACCAACCAGAACATTATTTTCGTTACTACTCCACAACTGTAATTATGCGACTGTTATCAATTGCAAAGAAAATAATATCTGATATGCAAGATGGATTCTCATTCATTGGACCAAATTTGGCACAAATGCCAATACGCCCAAATTTTATACTAGTGGGTTCAGAGGGGGATTGATTTTGTCATTTGGGAGTTGTAGTTGCTGGGATTTATAGTCCACCTACAATCAAAGAGCATTCTGACCTTCACCAACAATGGAACTGAACCAAACTCCCACGACCAACAGAAAATACTGGAAGTGTTTGGTGGGCATTAACCTTGAGTTTGGGAGTTGTAGTTCACCTACATCCAGAGAGCACTGTGGACTCAAACAAGGGTGGATCTGGACCAAACTTGGCACGAATACTCAATATGCCCAAATGTGAACACTGGTGGAGTTTGGGGAAAATAGACCTTGACATTTGGGAGTTGTAGTTGCTGGGATTTATAGTTCACTACAATTAAAGAGCATTCTGAACTCCACCCTTAAAAACAAAAGAACCAATGAACGAAATCACACCAAATTTGGCAACAAAACGTCTCATAACACAAGGAGTGACCATCACTCAAAAAATTATGATTTTGTCATTTGGGAGTTGTAGTTGCTGGGATTTATAGTTCACCTACAATCAAAGAGCATTCTGAACTCCACCAACGATGGAATTGAACCAAATTTGGCACACAGGACTCCCATGACCAATAGAAAATATTGGAAGGGTTTGGTGGGCATCAACCCTGAGTGTGGGAGTTGTAGTCCACCTATATCCAGAGACTACCGTGGACTCATACAATGATGGATCTGGGCCAAACTTGGCACGAATATTCCATATGCCCAAATATGAACACAGATGGAGTTTGGGGGAAATAGACCTTGACATTTGGGAGTTGTAGTTACTGGGATTTATAGTTCACCTACAATCAAGGAGCATTCTGAACCCCACCAATGACAGAATTGGGGCAAACTTCCCACACAGAACCCCCATGACCAACAGAAAATACTCAAGGCCATCCAGTCCAACTCCCTTCACCAGGGCAAGAAAACGTAATCAAAGCCCTCCTGACAAAGAGCCATCCAGCCATAGATAGAGATAGATATGATTCACACACACAGAGAGATATAGTATCATAGATTTGAAAGGGACCCCTGAAGATGGACAATTATATGTTGCATGTTCCCGAGTAGGCAAACCAGACAATCTACACATCAACACTGACAAACAGACAACAAGAAATACTGTTTACCCAAAAGCGTAAAGAAATTACTGTGCTGTTGCGCGCTGGGCCTATAGCAATTGGCTTTTGAACAAGACGTGCTCTTTGTGCCCAGCGGGAAGCCGGGGTGCCTCAGCTGAGAGGCTCTAAGGATTTTCCTATACAAAAGTCTTTAGATGCTTGATGGGTCATTGGCCCTATAATTGCAAACCAAAGGAAGCCACCTTATTGCAAAATGCATGGAACTTTGGAATACATGCAAACACTCAAAGAAAGAAAAGGAAGTTGGAGCTCCTGGTACAGCCGGACCAAAGCAATTACATATATTAGAAACCAACACTTTCTCATTACTTGATTTTCCAGATCACCAGACTGGGCCACAGCAACGCCTGGCAGGGACTGCTAGATATAGATATGCGAGAGACAAGACAAGAGGACAACTCTAATAGAAGACAAAACCAGTACCAACAGTGCTATCCGGGGTAAAATCAGTAATTCAAGGTACTAACACTCCCTGTCTCACTTTTCAATTCCCCACACACGCGCCCCCCTTTTTTAAAACATACAATCACAATCACAATAATAATAGAATCCTAGAGTTGGGAGAGACCTCCTGGGCCCTCATCCATTCCAACCCCATTCTGCCAAGAAGCAGGAATATTGCATTCAAATCACCCCTGACAGATGGCCATCCAGCCTCTGTTAAAAGCTTCCAAAGAAGGAGCCTCCACCACACTCCGGGGCAGAGAGTTCCACTGCTGAACGGCTCTCACAGTCAGGAAGTTCTTCCTCATGTTCAGATGGAATCTCCTCTCTTGTAGTTTGAAGCCATTGTTCCATTGCGTCCTAGTCTCCAGGGAAGCAGAAAGGAAGCTTGCTCCCTCCTCCTCCCTGTGGCTTCCCCTCACATATTTGTACATGGCTATCATATCTCCTCTCAGCCTTCTCTTCTTCAGGCTAAACATGCCCAGCTCCTTAAGCCGCTCCTCATAGGGCTTGTTCTCCAGACCCTTGATCATTTGAGTCGCCCTCCTCTGGACACATTCCAGCTTGTCAATATCTCTCTTGAATTGTGGTGCCCAGAACTGGACACAATATTCCAGGTAAAGTGGTCTAACCAAAGCGGAATAGAGCATGGGGAGCATGACTTCCCTAGATCTAGACACTATGCTCCTATTGATGCAGGCCAAAATCCCATTGGCTTTTTTTGCCGCCACATCACATTCCTGGCTCATGTTTAACTTGTTGTCCCCAAGCGTACTCCAAGATCTTTTTCACACGTCCTGCTCTCGAGCCAGGCCTCACCGTCCCCCATTCTGTCTCTTTGCATTTTGTTTTTCCTGCCTAAGTGGAGTCTCTTGCATTTCCCCCTGTTGAACTTCATTTTGTTAGTTTTGGCCATTCATGTCTCTAATCTGTCAAGGACTCCACACGTCCTGCTCTCGAGCCAGGCCTCCTCGTCCCCCATTCTGTCTCTTTGCATTTCGTTTTTCCTGCCTAAGTGGAGTCTCTTGCATTTGTCCCTGTTGAACTTCCTTTTGTGAGTTTTGGCCCATCATCTCTCTCATCTGTCAAGGACTCCAAGATCTTTTCCACACATCCTGCTCTCGAGCCAGGCCTCATCGTCCCCCATTCTGTCTCTTTGCATTTCGTTTTTCCTGCCAAAGTGGAGTCTCTTGCATTTGTCCCTGTTGAACTTCATTTTGTTAGTTTTGGCCATTCATCTCTCTAATCTGTCGAGGACTCCAAGATCTTTTCCACACGTCCTGCTCTCGAGCCAGGCCTCATCGTCCCCCATTCTGTCTCTTTGCATTTCGTTTTTCCTGCCAAGTGGAGTATCTTGCATTTGTCCCTGTTGAACTTCATTTTGTTAGTTTTGGCCATTCATCTCTCTAATCTGTCAGGCTCATTTTCTTTTCCCCACGTCCTGCTCTCGAGCCAGGCTTCATCGTCCCCCATTCTGTCTCTTTGCATTTCGTTTTTCCTGCCTAAGTGGAGTATCTTGCATTTGTCCCTGTTGAACTTCATTTAGTTAGTTTTGGCCCATCATCTCTCTAATCTGTCAAGGACTCCAAGATCTTTTTCAGACATCCTGCTCTCGAGCCAGGCTTCATCATCCCCCATTCTGTCTCTTTGCATTTTGTTTTTCCTGCCTAAGTGGAGTCTCTTGCATTTCCCCCTGTTGAACTTCATTTTGTTAGTTTTGGCCATTCATGTCTCTAATCTGTCAAGGACTCCAAGATCATTTTCAGATGTCCTGCTCTCGAGCCAGGCTTCATCATCCCCCATTCTGTCTCTTTGCATTTCGTTTTTCCTGCCTAAGTGGAGTATCTTGCATTTGTCCTTGTTAAACTTCATTTTGCTAGTTTTGGCCAATCTCTCTAACCTGTCAAGATCGTTTTGAATCCTGCTCCTGTCCTCTGGAGTATTGACTATCCCTCCCAATTTGGTCCCGTCTGCAAACTTGATGATCCTGCCTTCTAGCCCTTCATCTAAGTCAGGAATGAAGATCCCAGGACGGAGGAAATGTCCCAGGGATGGATGCAATGGGTGTGTGTGTGGCTTTGATCCTACACCCTGAGCCACTTCTGATGAGACAGGAGCGGAACTACACCTCACACGGACCATTGCGTGTGATCGCAAGCATGGCTCTCCTTCCTTTCTCCCAGAGAAGTCTGCCCGGGCGTCATGCTACACCTTCCTCTACATTGGGGGGAATCTTACTTGCTTATTCTGTTTCATGGAGTCCTTCTATATCATCCCAGGCGCTTGGGTACAGTTCTTCCCTGCAAGCAGATGGAGACAGCAACAAACAGGATTTTTTAATGGCATCATCCCCTTGGGCACGGGGAAATCACAGCCTCAAAATACTACGTCTTCCAAAAAAAGGGTTATACTACTTGTATAAGTGCTTAAGCCTCAAGGGATAGAAAAACAGTTAATACAGAGAGAGGAAATCAAATGCACACGAGAGCTAAGCATCATTGGGTTGTTGTAGGTTTT